TGTGTGTGTGTGTGTGTGTGTTGTCAGGAGTCTGGTCTGTCTCTGTGGCTTGGAGGTCACATGACTCCTCTCCAGTCGTTCCCTCCCTGGATCATCTCTGTCATCATCTGTCTCCTCGTCGCCTCCTTCACTGAGTGTGCCAGCAACGTCGCCACGGCAACCCTCTTCCTGCCCATCCTGGCCTCCATGGTACTACACAAGAAAATACTCACAGTGAATACTCACAGTGAATACTCACAGTAACAGTAGAACATCGTCTGTGTACAACGTACTGAATCCTCTGGAGCAGTGATGTGAATTGAATTGAAGTTTTTTTCTGTTTGTGTTTGACTCAGGCTCAGTCGATGGGTTTGAACCCTCTGTACGTGATGATCCCGTGCACCCTCAGCGCCTCCTTCGCCTTCATGCTGCCAGTGGCCACGCCTCCCAACGCCATTGTCTTCTCCTATGGGCTCCTCAAGGTGTCCGACATGGTGAGAGCTTGTTTTGTCAAAGGACGATTCATGTTTAGCCATGAAGTCGAAATAAACTCCACCTCCTCCTCTGCGCCCCCTGCAGGCTAAAACAGGCGTGGTGATGAACATCATCGGGATCGGCTGCATTAGTCTGGCGATCAACAGTTGGGGTCGCGTCTTGTTTTCTCTGGAATCTTTCCCGTCGTGGGCCAACGTCACCGCACCCGTGTAGAAGCACCTGAGAGAGAACGGCCCGCTGTTTCCAAAACTCTGACTCTGTTGGTCCTGCAGCTTGTGACGCTGCGTCTGAGCCACCGGAGGCAGCGTCCGTGTCTCAACGCTGATCGAAAGCATGTTTCTAAAATCCTGACGTTATTGTCGCCTGCTGAACGTCAACTGACCGGTTTCTACCGATAAAGAAACATCGTAGATTCTTTACTAAAACACAGGATCAACATAATTTTAAAAGATTCACCTCAATTAACTAACTGATAAAAGACGTTTCTGTAACAAATGTCTAACACAGATTTAAAGGTGGAACATTTCCACTCACCCTCAACCATAAAGATGGACGACATGACAGGTCCACAAGCATCTTGATCGCCACCTGGTGGCTGGCTGCAGTTATTGGTCATAAAGCCTACCTCATCCACGTTAGCAAGAGATGGACCACACTAAACAGGTTCCCGGACGATAAGTGACATCATCACCACAAGATGGCAGTGTTTCTATCTGAGATATTTTGACTTCGTCTCTGGAGGAAGTGGAGACGTGTCGTCGTCTTGATTTCAATTCTGTGATTCTGTCTCATTCACACGCACAGGAAGTGGAGGGACGATTTCCTCTGAACCACTGGAAAGATTTAAATGTGAAACATCTGTGAAGAAACATTTGATATATTTTCTGTTTGTTTGAATTTTCCATTTCTATAAAAATGGAT